CCAACGTAGACAGATTTCAGGCAAAATCAACCATTAGGCATGGGAACCTTGGCTGATTCCCAACCCTTTCCCCAACTTAGGCCAGTTGCAGCACCACAGTTACTGACCGACATTGTTTCAGTCAGCCATGATCAGCGATAGAGCCTGGCAGCTTCAATCCACATCGCTCATGGATCAGGATCAGGGAGTACCATGCACATACAGTGTGTCTCCATTCCTATGATCAGGCCTCATTAATATATGATGACAACAGTTGGTTAACTAAATCCATGGCCATTCCATAGAGGCAAACAGAAGTCAGTTCCAGTTCTAACGGGGGAGGGAGTGCAGCACTGTTAGAGTGTCAACACTAAGGGATATGGCATTGTCAGAGAGTCAGCGAGGGATGGCTTCACAGTCACAGGGTCAGTACTGAGGGAATGCCATCTTTTACTGAGATACTAAACCATGGTTCCACCTGCCATATTAGGTGGACATGAAACATCCCATGGTCATTATTTGGAGGAAGAGCAGTTGAATTCATCTTGGTGCTGCGTGAGTTCTTTTCTCTCAGTGAGCACCATGAAAGAAGATTTTTTTAGCTGTTTTGGGGACCTTGCTGTGAATGTAAATTGGCTTCTGTATTTCTGACCTTACAACAATTCCTATGCCTTAAAAGCAAGTAATTTACTGTGAAACACTTTGGAGCACCTAGAGGTTGTGAAAGAAATGCAAGTCTATCTTACACATCAACAAGCGTAATACTGGGGAGAGTTGGGATCCAGCTATCTCTAAAAGTGATACTTTGATGAAATATTCACCCTTTCACTGAACGCTGTCCTTGGTGTCTCTTTAGTTTTGTGTAGATGAAGGCCAGAGTGACGCTAAAGATGACATTGTTTCTGAGCATGACCTGCGAGCCCTGATCTCCGGGAGCAGCCATTTGTCGAGTGGATCTGACCGTAGGAAAGCAGCTGTCAGTGGCAAGTGGGTGTGTGCCCAATCATCCAAAAGCAAAAAGCAAAACCACAACAAACCCATCACAGACAAGTTGGAGGTGCTGGAGGCTGCATATACACATCAGGGTGACAAGTGGAGAGCGCTGGGATATGCCAAGGCCATCAACTCCTTGAAGAGGTACCAGAAGCCAGTGTCCTCCTATGAGGTAAAATCTCAGCCTTTTCCTTCTCCCTAGCCTCCATGTGGAGGAACTTCAGTTTGATTTGCTGAGCCTGACCTGCCCACTGGGAAACCGCACTTTGCTGATTTTACCCTGTACCGATTTTATTAAAATGAGGATTGTGTACAGTTTTAACTTTTTGACTGATTCCTCCTTTAAGAGGAACAATAGTATTTGCCTCAACCACTCCCTGACTAATAACACTGACTCGTAAGACAGTGCCCCTCAATGACAAGTTTAAATTGGTGACTGTTCCTGCATTACTGAATGCTTAGCCAGAGGAAATTAAGTTCATTAAATTTAAATTCAGGTAGAACAGCCTAAATTCACTCTCGTCAGTTTGTGGAACCCAAATCTATATCATCAATTGTCTTCTTGGGCAAAGTGAAGATTCCAGGGAGGGAGGTGAGCAGAATAGGGAGTGAAAGGATAAAGAGTGACAGGGAGAGGGAGCGAGTGGAAGAGTGAAGAGGTGGATGAGTAGGAGAAGCAGCAGAAGGGTGAGAATAAGAGGAGTTCAGAGGGACGGGGACAAATATGACTGGTGGGCTAGTGGGAAAGGTGGGCTAGATGGAAAGGTGGACAAGAGGAAGAGGTGGGTGAGAGGGAGAGTAGAAAATGAATGAAGTGGTGAGCAAGAGAGAGCGTGAGCAGTAGGGTGGAGGTGGGGTAAGCAGCCAGTTGGAGGGAGGTAAGTTGAAAGAGTAAGTTATTAAGAGTTCATAAGTTTAGGTGATAGCAAGTTATTAAGATTAATAAGATTTTGAGCCAGGTAATACCACTGATCCAGCTATTCTGCTACAAGGAGCATTGATCCTAAAGACATTCAACACATTAAAAACACATGGGCAATTGTAGGAAGTTTGTGCAAAGGTTTTCATTCCTAATCCCAATCTTCAGGCCATATCACTGAACAATTTCAGATTATTTCATGGGACATTTTAAACCATTTTATCCAAATACTACCTCTCTCCAATTCACGTCTGTAATTATTCTCAGAAACAGTTTACTTTAAAAACGCTGAATCAGTTTATTACTTCACAATTCATAAATTTTTAATGTAAAAGAACTGTGGGTGGAATAAATACCAAAACTTCCACCCTGAACGACATCAACAGTCATTCAGAGAGAGTAGAACTGCAGATGCTGGAGTCAGAGATAACAGTGTGGAGCTGGAGGAACACAGCGGGCCAGACAGCATCAGAAGAGTAGGAAATGTCAAATTTCCTGCTTCTCTGATGCTCCCTGGCCTGCTGTGTTCCTCCAGCTCCACACTGTGTTATCTACATCAACAATCATTCTGCCTCCGAGAATTTCATTCTTTCTTCACCACAGCGCTCTCTTCCCCAGTTTCCAGATGTATGGTGGAATCTGGTGAAGGCGACTGGAATATTGGCCTCCAGTTAGAGAACTGGTCAGAGCCCTGCTTAGCTTCTCTTCAGGAAGGTCCATCACATTGAGTGGCATTCCAGCTCTTGAAAGGCCAGTGGCAGCCCCTACCCTGTGATCAAGGAAAGGGGGTTCAGAAGTCCCAACAAGAACTGCTGGCCGATCAGAGGCTGGCACTTACATGAAGGGCACTGCCCCTTATGGAGATAATGGTGGTTGCTGCCATTAGACACCTACCCAAAGCCTCAGATTGAAGAGGGTCCCAAGCACAAATGAGTAATGGCAGAATGGAGGTCATCAGGTGGCAATCGCAGGGGTGTGGAGAAAGGATTTTGGCAGTAAGGGCAGGTGTATGACTCTCAGTGGGCAACCCCTTCCTTCCCAATCAGGTACAGTACCCTGCTGGGCAATGAGCAATCCCCTGGGAGCCCAGGTTTGTTTGTTCCTAAAGAATGGTGCCAAAAGTGGCCACAGTCCTTCAGCTGTGGCTAAACCAGTGTTTTATAAAGCTTTAGCGTAACTTTCTTGATTTTGTACTCTATTAATAAAGTGAAGGCTTGTGCATTTTGTTAATAATCTTAAAAAATTAGCTTGATTTGTATACATGAATACATTTTGGAGCCAGTTTCTCTTTAACTGTCCACAGGAAGCATGTAAGATCCCTGGCATTGGCAAACGAATGGCTGAGAAAATCAGAGAGATACTGGAGAGTGGGCACCTGCGCAAGCTTGACTATATCAGTGAGAGTGTCCCAGTGCTGGAAACCTTCTCAAACATCTGGGGAGCTGGTGTGAAGACAGCCCAGATGTGGTACCAGCAGGTGGAAGCAGATTCTGCAATATTATATAATTCTCTGAGCAGATTCCTGAGTTTATTGTCAGTACCTTCTTGGCCTCCTGCTCTTAGTTTGACAGAGACAATGTCAACAGCTCCAAGATCCAGCGTGTTACACCTGATCCTGCATCTGCCATTTATTTGCCCACTCAACTTGTCTAAATTGCCTTGAAACTTCTTTACATTCTCCCGACCACCTAGATTTGTTTATTCAGCAAACTTGGAAATATTGCACTCAATTCCCTCATCTAAATCATTGACCCATATTGTGAATAGTTGGGGCCCTAGCACTGATCCCTGTTGTATCCCACTTGACATTACCTTCCACTCCAAAATTACTGACTTATTGCTAATCTCCATTTCCTGTCTGCTAACAAGTTCTTCATCCATGTTAGTTTTTAATTCATTCACCGGATGTAAACGTCACTGGCTAGCCAGCGTTTATTGCCCAGAGGGCAGTTAAGAATCAACCACATAGCTGTGGATCTGGAGTCATACGTAGACCAGACCAGGTAAGGATGGTAGTTTCGTTCTGTAAAGGACATTAGTGAACCAGATCGGTTTTTCCTGACAATCAACAATGGATTCAGGGTCATCATTAGCCTCTTAATTCCAGATGTTTATTGGATTCAAATTCCACCATCTGCCATGCAGGATTTGAACACGGGTCCCCAGAATATTACTTGGATCTCTGGATTAACTGTTCAGTGATAATACCACCAGGTCATTGCATCCCCAAATAGTTTTGAATTGGACTTTTTCACTTGCTATCCCATTGAATAGTTCTATGATCATGTTATGTCATATTTTCCCTAAAGGACCTCTCACAAAAAGATTACTAATCCTAACTCATTGCACAAAACCAAATTGAGGATAACCGACCCCTGAGTTGGTTCCTTGATGTACAGCTCTAAAAATCCATCTTGTACAACACTCCAGGAATTCATCATGGTTTACTCAGTCTACATGTAGATTAAAATCACTCATGATTACTGTAGCACCTTTGTTGAATTCATCTCTAGTTTCCTATTTAATGTCATTCCCAACTTAGCACTACAGTTTGGAGGCCGAGATACAGCTCCTACCAATGGAATTGTTATTTCTTAGCTCCACCCAGGCTGATTCCACATCTAAATTTCCTGAACCAATATCCTTTCTCATGATCGGTCTGATTTCACGTTTCTCTAACACTGCCATCTTCTTTTCTACTTTTCCTGTCCTTCCTAAAGATTGTATACCCTTGTTAAGTTCCCAGACTTGATCACCTGCAACCATGTGTCCATAATTGCTATCATATAGTACTGTAGTAAAACTATTAATACTGTTATTTTGTCTATTTTGAATGCTCTGTGCATTCAGATGTAGCACCTTTAAACTTGTTGTTTTGATTTATTGCACATTTTATTTGTGTTTACTGCTAGCCCTTGTTTCTTCTGCCTTACAGTTTTGCTTTCCACTTATCTGTCTTTCATTTCCATGTTTGTTTCCCTCACTCTTGTCTTCCCACCCAGGTTCCTGTCCCCCTGCCACTCTAGTTTAAATGATGGTTAGTTCTTAAAAGTAAAATGGATAAGGGGTGCAGTGTTCAGATAGCTGACATTCTGGAAGGTATGGACAAGTGTTATCTCTGAGACCTTTGCAGACACATGCAAAACAGTGTCATGGATTCTTTTGGGCACTTTTCAAGAGGACAATCAGATTTCAAATTTGAATCATAGTAAGGATTTTTCCAGAAACAGGAGAACTGAGCTGGAAAGCTCATCAGGCGGTCATCAACTAAACACTATCCAAAGTAGAAACTGAAAGCTGACAGTCATGAGCCCGATTGGATGGATTCCAATAAACAAGCAGTTATCACAAGACATTTGACGACCAAGAAATGCCTCGTTAAGATGGTGTTCCAATGTCCTTTCATTAACCCCTTTAAAAATATCCAGGTATCCACAATCCTTTAAATTCAAGTGCACAAAATGATTAAAAATGAAACCTTCATAGCAAATGCATTTTTTTTCTTTCTTTAATGCTTGCAAATGGTCAGAGAACATTCAGCCATTCAGTCCAGTTTTACTAACTCTTTATCCCACTTGTGAATGAGATCTGTCTATTCCTATCTGAATATGCCTCCATCCCATGATCTAGTCTACTCACTCTGTTTCTTGGAAAAGGAAATAATTCTTATTATTGCTCTTTTCCTATTTTCACATTAGATTGAGAAGCTTTAACACTTAGACATGTTTTACAGGGATTCAGAACTTTGGATGATATTCAGATGAAAGCTAGTCTGACTAAGCAGCAGATCATTGGCCTCAAACACTATCATGATTTCCTCGACCGAATGCCCCGGGAAGAGGCAGGGGAGATTGAAAAAGTGGTGAGTACCTGCTGGTTTTGGTTACAAGTATGTGATTGTTGCTTTTTCGCAATGGTGTGGTCAATCAGAAAAGAGAATTATTGAATTTTATAATGTAGATAAGGCCATTTTACCCCTCATCACTGTGTCTTCTGTCTGTTAGGACTGTTCCTCATTTCTCTATTTCTCATTCCCTATTCTACTGTGCTTGTGCTGGTGATCTGAAAGAACTGTTCACATCTCTTACTTATTCCCCCCAAACAAGTTCAACTGAAAATCCCTACTGTCCCACTGTGGAAAAGTTGTGTGTGCTATGTGCTTTGTTTCCCAATTTATTGACGGGCTTGGCTAGGATTTTAGAATGTGGGGATATGATTTGGGGAGGCCCAACCAATCCCCATTTAACACTACCCTCCACTTCCTGGAGGAATTCATTCCCACTTTGAGTAACTTTTCCTTCAACTTAACTCCTTTCAAGTAAAAGGTGTTGCTGTGGGTATCTGGATAGGTCCTAGTTAGGCTCACCTTTCCCTTTCTTGAGTTCTCTGTCTCGATTTCTGGTTATACTTATCATTATTAATAACTAATATTCATTAGAAGCCCACTGACGGTCACAGTATCTACATTGGGAAGACCAAATGTTGATTTGTTAACTTCTTTGCAGAACATTTCTGTTCAGTCCGCAAATATGTCACTGAGCTTCCAGCAACCTGTGTTTTAATTCTCCACCTTGCTCTCACACTGACATGGATTAGTGCACTGTTCCATTGACACTCAATGTAAACTTCAAAATACTATCTTATCTCCTGTTAGGCGCTTTGCAGCCTTCTGAACTCAATGTTGAGTTCAATAATTTTAGACCATAATCTGTTCTGCATTTTGTTACTTTTCCTTTGGTTCTTTTGTTATTTTCTCTCAGCTAGTAGTACCTGCTTTCGGGACACCTTTTGATTCTTTGCTGCTTTTCCTGCCCCATCTCTATTCCCTTTGGTCCCGGACGACTAACCTTTCTGTCATTCCATCTCCCCTGTCTTCGAGCCTATCACAGATCTTCCCCATCCTTGTCCAACCTATGCTTTGCTCAAAACCTATTACCTCTTTAACGTTTCCCAATTATGATGAAAGGTCACAGAGCTCAAGCATTGGCTGTTTTTCACTCTCTGCCAGAACTATTGAGTTTTTGCCATTATTTTCTTCATATATTCCAGGATTTGGGAATTTGGAGGCAGTATTTGAGGATATTCATGGTGGATTGAGGATGATCTGCAGGATAGAGGATCTGGGGGCAAGGTTTCAGAAACAGGCCGAACTTGTAATGTTTCTGGGGAGAGGAAATATGTTGATTGGGATTTGGGGATGTGGAAACACAGAGTTGTGAATAGAGATTCCACCATGGCCAGTTGTAAAATTCAATTTTAAAAAATCTTATGGAAGCTGTTTTGAAAAATCCAAGAAGGTCTTACATTGCCCTTCAAGGAAACAAACCACTTTTTCCTGCCTAGTCCTATAAAGGCAAAGGTAAAGTCACCATAGTTCCAGAGGACTTTAGGGCTGCTCTCTCATTAGAAACAGATGAGTGGTGGTGAGTGTAACCTGAGGGTCACCCCATCTCACGGCTGAAGTTCAGAAGGTGGGACCTTCAGTGGTAATCTCTGCCAGTGTGGGAATTGAACCTGTGCTGTTGGCATCACTCAGCTTTGCAATCAAACCATCAAAGCCATCCAACTAACTGTCTTTGCCCCTGCTGTCTCACTTACTTGCTATCTCCTCTGTGACACAATCCACGCTGACAATACTCTGTTGTATCTCATCACGCCATCTGTCAACCTTCTCTCTTTTTTTATTTTTATTTTAATTCATGGAATGGGGGCATCACTGGCCAGGCCAGTGTTTATTGCCCGTCCCTAATGCCCAGAGGGCAGTTAAAAGTCAACCACATTGCTGTGTGTCTGGAGTCACGGCGAGGCCAGACCAGTTGAGGATGGCAGATTTCCTTCCTCAAAGGGCATCAGTAAACCAAATGGGTTTTTCCAATAATCAACAACCGTTTCATGGTCATCATTAGATTCTTAATTCCAGTCTCATATTGAATTCAAACTTCACCATCTGCCATGGTGTGATTTGAACCCAAGTCCCCAAAACATTAAAGGGTCTTTGGATTAATAGTCTAGTGAATAAGAAATGTTTGAAGGGATATGGGCCAAGCGCAGGCAGATGGGACTAGTTTACTTTGGGATTATGGCCGGCATGGACTGGTTGGACCAAAGGGAATGTTACTATGCTGTATGACTTTATGACTCTATAACTCCCTCCGTAAATCTTACTGCCTGTCTACTTCGCAAGACATTCCTTAAAACCTGCACCTTCAATCAAGCATTTGATCATAGAGTCATAGTCATCGTGCCACAGAAGTCTGCAGCACAGCAAAAGGCCCTTTGATTATCGAGTCCGCACTAGTCAGAAGCAACAATCTAATCGATTCTAATCCCATTTCTGTCACTTGGCCCATAGTCTTGTATGCCTTGGCATCATCGCAAGTGCACAACTAAATACTTCTTAATGTATGAGGGTTTCTCCTTCTACTACCCTTACAGGCAGTGAGTTCCAGATTCCCAACACCCTCTGGCTGAAAAGATGTTTCCTCACATCCCCTCTAAACTGTCTGCCTCTTACCTTAAATCTGTGCCCCTGGTCATCGACCCTTCCATTCAAAGGGAAAAGTTCCTTCCTATCTACCCTATCTATGCCCATCATTATTTTATACAATACAACCGTCACGCCCCTTAGTCTGTGCCCCAAGGAAAACAAACCCAGTCTGTCCCATCTCTTTTCATAATTAAAACTCTCCAGCCCAGACAGCATCCTGGTAAATCTCCTTTGCACCCTGTCCAATGCAGTTACATCCCTTCTGTATTGTGCACTCAATACCCTCACTGTGGCTTAACCAATGTTTTATATAGAGTTAAAGTATAACCTATGACCTCCCTGCTCTTAACCAGTTTATCTACCTGTCCCGCCACCTTAAGGAACTTATGGACCCAGGTCCCTATGAACCTCAGTACCTCCCAGGTTTCTATCATTCATCATGTATTCCCTTGCTTTATCTGTCCTGACCAAGTGTGTTGCCTCACACTTATTTGGATTGAATTCCATCCTTTGGCTAAATATCTCTTTCTGCCTCAGTGTCAACATTTTATTTGATGGTCCTGCAGGGAACTTTGTTTGTGTTCAGGTGCACACATCAGTTCAAGCTGTTGATGTTGCAGACTAGGGAATATACCAACCCTTCCCACAAAACAGGTGACACCAAGACAAACAAGAGCAGCTCAGAGTCCTCAGGTTTTAAATGAACTTGGTGGGGAACCCAGGAGTATTTAATACAGAGAAAGCAATAATGGAATCTGTTGAAAGCGATTCTCTAATAGAGATATATACTCCACTGTGATTGGCAAATCCTGCTGAGCTTACTGACACATGCACAGCAGTTGTCATGGGAACAGCAAGAAGCTCAAAACCACGGCATCTGCCGTGAAGTATCAGACCCAAGGAATGTTGCTCAGCAGGGAAGGGAAGGGGTGCAGTGTGTCATTCCGACTTCACTGTGCTGCGTAAATAGAGAATAGCCTCCTATCCTGGATTAGAGGGAACAAACATCAGCTCAGTGCACAAATCAATCAGAGGACTCAACAGTTGTCAGTTTGACAGGAGCAAAGGCCATTGTTCAGTGATAGGATTATTGACAGCAATGACTGGGACCTTATTGAGGTTGTAAGGAGTTGAGAAAGGAATTAACAGGATTATACCGTCTATCTGTATGTCAAATGGATTAGGTAGGATTGACTGAAGCTCTCCAGAGTCTTTCAACTGCCTCACAATAGTTACAGTCAGTGGCTTCACTGCAAAATTTCAGCATTAATATGTTCAGAAGTGACCGTTTAGGAGCACTTTGAAGGTGGAGTTGAGGGAAATTGCCAATTGCATTCGGGAAGGCAGGAGTTAAGGAGCTTTGATGGGAATGAAAGAAGATCATGAGACTGAGGAGAGAGAGTGCCAAAGATAAGGAACAGGAAAAACAACTGAGGGTGAGCGAGTGATTATCAGTAATCCATTGTCAGCAGAGAGGGTCATGAGCAGTAATCCAGTGTCAGAGCTGAGAGGGATATAAGCAGTGATCCAGTATCTCTCATTAGCAGTATTTCTTATCTTTGTTTTCCAGGTGGGGGACATGGCTCAGTCAATCGATCCATCTCTGATTGCTCTAGCTTGTGGCTCCTATCGACGTGGGAGGTCTACCTGTGGTGATGTAGACGTCCTCATCACACATCCAGATGGAAAATCGCACCAAGGTGTCTTCAGTAAGATCCTTGCTGGTCTGAGGGACACAGGTAAGTGTGTTCAGACAAAAATGGGACAATGGATACAGGCAGAGTTTTGGAGCAAAGATATCATCAGTGTTCTGTAATGGACATGAAGCTTATTGTTACCCTCACACCCCAAAAAAATGCATCTTTCATTTGTTTAGCCTCAGGCCTAATGTATCAGGGGTCATTCGGGGGAGACTATGGCCTAATGATATTATCACCGGACTGTTAATCCAGAGACCCAGATAATGTTCTGGGGACCCTGGTTTGAGTCCCACCACGGCAGATGGTGGAATTTGAATTCAATAAATATCAGGAATTAAGAATGAATCCATTTGTTCATTGTCAGGAAAAACCCATCTGGTTCACTAATGTCCTTTAGGGAAGGAAACTGCCATCCTTACCTGGTCTGGCCTACATGTGACTCCAGACCCACAGCAATGTGGTTGACTCTTAACTGCCCCGTGAGCAACTGAGATGGGCAATAAGTGCTGCCTAGCCAGCAATGCCCTCGTCCTATGAATGAATAAAGAAAAGAAAAAAAAAAATCAAGGATCATTAAACATTCCTCGGAATTGCCACTGATGAGTTTCCTGGATGGTGCAGAGTTCCACGCTGCCTGAGTGTTCTGCAGTTGTCTGTTGGTTTCTACAATGTCACTATTTATTGCAGCATGGGCAAATGTTTAAGGTTGGGACTTAAGTACGTTGTTGGAGCAAATCATCCAGAACAAGTCCCAGCAGTTGCTGCCCTGCAGGTGTCCGATGGTGCAGTGTAGAAGGAGCTTAGTCTGCACCTAACCCCAGGCTGTACCTGCTCTGGGAGTGTTTAATGAGGACAGTGTAGAGGATGCATTACTTTCTGTTTAAAAGAGTAGAGGAAGCTTTACTCAGTAAATAACTCAATGTTGTATCAGTCCTGGGTGTGATTGAAGAGGGCAGTGTAGAAATTTTATTCTGTATTTAACCTTGGTACACCTGATTCAAGGTTCTCCTGAGTAGCTTTTAAACAGAGATCTCACATTTTCACAAGAACAGAATATTTTCTGGACAATGTTTGACTCTTGAATTTGTTATTGAAAGGATTTCTAACGGATGACCTGGTCAGCCAGGAAGAGAGCGGGGACCAGAAGAAGTATCTGGGAGTTTGCCGGCTTCCAGGTCCTGGGCACCGTCACCGGAGGCTCGACATCATTGTGGTACCATACAGTGAGTTTGCCTGTGCCCTGATGTACTTTACCGGATCCGCACATTTTAATCGGTCCATGCGGGCTTTGGCCAAGACGAAGGGCATGAGCCTGTCAGAGCACTCGCTGAACTACCACGTCCTGAGGAAGGGCAGTGCCAAACTCACCACAGGAGTAATCATTTCCACGACAACCGAGCAAGACATCTTTGAGCACCTGGGACTGCTGTACAGGAAGCCACATGAGAGGGACTGGTGACACTGCTGCAGGTTGGCAGAGACCCATTCCACTGTATTTGTGCATGTGTCACCCAGTTTGATATAGCACCATACAGGCCAAGGACCCACCAGTTCACCTCCAAGTCCAGGCTGAGCTATCTGCTTTGAGGGTTTTTAATGTATCTGTAAAATGAAATACCTTTGCCATCTGTGAGCTTTACGATCTGAGAAAACAGAATGATTGATCCTTTATCCACAGGGTTACAGAGTAAAACGTAGGGAAGGCTAAACCTGCATCAATCTGCTGTGTCCGATTCTGGGGCACAATTTTAAGAAAAATGTCATGGCTTTGGAAAGGGTACAAAAGGAGATTTACTGCAGTGGTATCAGGAACTAGGGCTTTATACAGTGATCCTGAAAAAGCTGTCTTTCTTGTTGAAGATGATTTATAAGAGATTTAATAGCAATGTTCAAAACATTAGGGATTTGTGATCTAAGATTACAAAGCGATCTTAATCAGTTGGCCCCGTGGGCTGAGGTGAGGCAAATGGAGTTTACTTTGGATGAATGCGAGGTATTGCATTTTGGTAAAACAGACAAGGGCAGGATTTTTACCGTTAATGACAGGGCCCTGAATGGTGTTGTAGGACAGAGACACCATGGGGATCAGGTACATAATTCTTTGAAATTTGTGTCCATGTAGACAGGGTGGTTTAGCACTGTTGCCTTCATCGGCTGGACCTTTGAGTTTAGGATTTGGGATGTCATGTTGAGGTTGTACAGGACATTGGTGAGACCTCTTCTGGAGTACTATGTACAGTTCTGGTCGCCCTGCTACAGCAAGGATATTATTAAATTGGAGAGGGTTCAGAAAAGATTTATCAGGATATTACCGGGAATGGAGGGTTTGAGTTATAATGATATGATGTGGAGGTGCCAGTGTTGGACTGGGGTGGACAAAGTCAGAAATCACACGACACCATGTTATAGTCCAACAGGTTTATTTGAAGACACAAGCTTTCGGAGCCTCGCTGCTTCCTCAGGTGTTAGTGAGGTGGTATCAGACACAGAATTTATACGTAAAAGATCAAAGGGTCACAACACTGTATGAGGATGTATATTAAACAAACCTAAGATGCTGTTCAATCTTTAATTGTTTAGAAGGTTTTAATTGATTAATTTGTATATGTAAATCCCCGAATTCCTTTCAAGTCACTGTCCTGAGAGAACCAAACGTTTTATCAGTGTAAAGAAGTGATGACATTTTAGGTCAGACAATGCATGTTAGGTGTGAGGCCTTGTTTAGAATCTGTTTGTGTTTTGGTTTGGAGTCAGACTAGTTTTATTTCTAAAATGGGAATTTATAAAACGCCACATTGACTCACTGTCTATAAATTGTGTGCTTTTTGAACAAAATAGAATGTATCTGCAAATGTGTTTGTGTGAGTGAGAGTGTCACACACACACACTCTCTCTCTCTCAGACACACTTTCCCACACACACTCTCTCCCACGCATGCGCACACACTCTCACTCTCTCCCTCACACACTGTCTCACTCTCTCTCTCTCTCTCTCCCCTACACACACACACAATCTCTCTCTCCCACACATACACATACACACACACACACACTCTCTCTCTTTCTCTGTCACTCTGTATTCCCCATCTCTTTCTCTCTCTTCACCCCCCACACACGTAAATAGATAGGGTGTATTTGTATTTGCATTCTATTTTGTTCAAAAAGCACACAATTTATAGACAGTCAGTCAATGTGGCATTTTATAAATTCCTACTGTAGAAATAAAACCAGTCTGGCTCCAAACCAAAACACAAACAGATTTTAAACAAAGCTTCAATTAAAACCTTCTAACTGATTAAAGATTTAACAGCATCTTACTTTTGTTTAATACATCCTCATCAGTGGTGTGACTCTTTGATCTTTTACTTATACTTTCTGTGTCTGATACCACCTCACTAACACCTGAAGATGGAGTGCGTCTCCAAAAGTTTGTGTTTTCAAGTAAACCTGTTGGACTATAACCTGGTGCCGTGTGATTTCTGACATTATAAAGATGGGCTGGGAATTTTTTAACTGGAGCATAGAAGGTTGAGAGGTGACCTTGTAGAGGTTTGCAAAATCATGAGGGGCATAGAAAAGGTGAATAGCAAGGGTCTTTTCCATAGGGTGGGGGAGTTCAAAACTAGGGGGCATATTTTTAAAGTGAAAGGAGAAGGATTTAAACAGGACATGAGGGGCAATCTTTTTACACAGAGAATGGTTTGCATGTGGAATGAACTGCCAGATAAAATGGTGAATGCAGGTCAGTTACAACATTTGAAAGAAATTTGGATAAGTTCATGAATAGGAAAGGTTTGAAAGGATATGGGCCAAATGCAGGCAGGTCAGACTAGTTTGGTTTGGGCACGTGGTCGGGAGGGACTGGTTGGACCGAAGGGTCCATTTCCATGACTCTACAACAACGAGAGCTCACTGTCCCATGCATACATTCACTTGATATTTAGAAACATCAGAGGGGAACTCATCAACTCAACTTGTATTCAGTTATATTGTGGCTAATCTGTACCTTAATTCTATTTAACCCCCCTAGGTTCCTTAACTATGAACTTCCTTACCCAACAAAAATCTGTCAGTCTGAATTTTGAAAGCTCCAAATAAACCTTGATTGGTGTGGGAGAGGGGATGGAGTGGTCCTGAAGCATTTCTTCACACAGAAGAAACAATTTATCTCTATCTACTTTGTAAATGCCTTTAATCGTCTTAAAGACTTTATAATGTATATGAGCACTGATCAGTACATTTTAAGAAGCAGCAGTACTAAATTAACCTCTCTCATTGTTTCCTGTCCTCATGGACTGAGTGGGGAAGAGTTGTGTTAATGCACCCAGAACACTTCCTGCATAGTGGAAGGTGAAACAGGAGATTTGTTGCCACCTTGTGGACAAAAATAAATATTTCCTGCTGAATGTTTAAAGAGTAATAATTGCTTAGCGGACAGGCTAACAAGATCTTAGAAGAAGATCTAAGGAAGGGTCTGGCCCCAGATGTATGCTGGACTTGGCTTATTTTAACCAAGCTAGCTAGCAGTCAGACACGTCAGTTATAAACAAGGTTAGAAATCAAATAGGCTCCATCTGATTGCAGTATAGTGACCCCTGATGGGAAGTATGTGTGTGGACATTAATGGAAAGCAGTGTCAAGTTTAGCTGTGCTGCTCTTCACTGAAGGAAGTGTACCAATCACCTGAATGAGCCTATTTCAGTTGACATAATTGTATCGGGCAAAGAAAAACCTACAAAAAAAAGAGAAATGTGTTTACTTTTAAAGGACATACTTTTCAGATTTTTATTTAGTTCTTCCCAGGTCTGTAGATGGACACAGAAGAGTTCTCTTTTAGCAAAAATATTTAACAAGATCAGGCTACAGGGTAACTCTACTCGGTGCCTGTGTCAGATTTTCAGGTGTCTGGACAACGGTGTGCTATTATCAGTTTACTGATAGATCATGGATTGGAATAAATAATATTACATCTTTGCGTTACTTATTTGCCCTGCAGTACCGTCTTATCAACTGAGGCAGGTTTAATCTCCATTCCTCCACTATATCCGTCAAACTGGGTATGAATGGCACGTTTCCTTTCCAAGAGGACTTAAATGAACTAATGTTCTGAGGAAGGGTCACTGGACCCAAAATGTTAACTCTGATTTTTTCTTCACAGATGCTGCCAGACCTGCTGAGCTTTTCCAGCAATTTGTTTTCGTGTCTTTAATGAACTAGGTTGGTTTTATGTCAGTTTACCAGTTTATTGTTCTTAAGTTTAATTCAGATTCTCTGTGTTTTGAGCTGTTGTTCTCAAGATTGCATCCAGTTATGTAGCCACTTCACAACTGTGACAGTATGTGCCTTTAAGAGGGATTTGTCCTGTCATGTTAATCTTGAAGTGGATGCTGTGAACATGGTGGAGGTGTCTGCTCCATGGAGAACAGAGTAAATGGCTTTGTTTTTTTTAATTAGACAAATCACTCATTTTTAAATGAGTTAGTGGAGTCAGGCTCACACAGACCCTGGGTTTTTGGTTTTTGCTTTCAGTTGTTGAAGTTGGGGTTTTGGAGATGAAGCTATCTCTGCTTCCATAAAATGCTTGAATTCTGTCCCTGCTGCTAGATTCATTCTGTTGGTGTTCCTTATCCTGGACTGGAGGAGATAGCAAGTAAGGGAAATCTGTTTTGCTGAATTTGCTTTTGCCAAGGGTGTGTGTATGGGATGCTGCTATATTGGAAGAGTTGATGAGTAGTAATTAAAAAATATATTGTTCTAAGTATTTCGATAGAGTTAAAGTTATGCCAATTCTATTTTTTGTTTGCATTTTAACTGTGGTATAAGAATAAAGTGTGTTTTGCTTCAAGCCTAGTAGTTTGACCAATCAAATCATATCTGGAACACAGCACCTAACACTTGCCTTTAAATAAGATAGAAGTTACATCTAGACTATCTTCTTGATATGTTTTCAGGAACTTTAGTCTGATCCATAACGCCACTGTTTCTCTTTAGAGTTAATATAAACTGCAGTCTTCCTCCATCATTGACATTGATGGATGCATTTGAGACAGAGCGGTTGAGCTGGTACTTGTTATTCATTGGTTAATGAATAGATACCTTTACTGGTGTGGTTAATAGGTGAAACTTAATGGGCTTTGTATATAAATATGTAATTGGCTATATAGGTAATTTACTGGTGGTGGTGGTGAGTAGTTAAAAACACAAAAAGTAGTGATTTGGTCATGGGGAAAAATGTTTGGTTGTGTGTGATACTTCGGGATGTTAAGAAAAAATGAAAATTACCACAGGTGATTTGATGATTGGAAGAAAATTGTTCAGTGTTAAGATAAATTCTGGATATGAAAGAAAAATGAAGAGATGCAATGCTGTCAGAAAGGTACACCTGTTTTCCTTGCTGCTGTTGGGATATTGCTCAGAAACCTTAACAAGGCAGAGGCATAGCTGACTGCATGTATAACAGTGATGGGGATATGCTAACACCCACAGTCTGAGAAAAGAGAGCTGATCAAAAACCATGCAGCCAACAATTCTTTAGTGAATAGCAAGTCAGACCACTACATCAATACCTGTTTTCATGGAGTCTGTGTGAGAAAAGTAGTTGATGCAGCTGGTTGCATGCCACATTCTGCAGGTATGCTGCCTTCAGTGCATCCCTGGTATGGGAAAAGTTTTGGTAAGCACAATATAGGGCACTTGTGGTGAAGTGGTAGAGTTTCTACCTCCCTCAAGGGGAAACATCCTCTCTACCCTATCCAGCCCCTTAGAATCTTGTATGTTTCAAAACAATCACCTCTCATTCTTCCACAATCATGAATACAAGCCCAACTGACTGACTTTCTGATAAGAAAATCCCTCAAAACCTGTGATCAATCAATATCCCTTCTCTGGACTGCCTCCAATGCCAATATATCTTTCCTTAGATCAGGTGCCGAAAATTGTTCACAGTATTCCAAATGTGGTGTGACTGGTGCCTTGTATATGTAGTTTTAGCAAGACCTCCTTGCTTTTACACTCCACTCCCTTTGAAATAGAGGCCAATATTTCATTTGCCTTCACTATCATCTACTAAAGTTGGATGTTAGCTTTTCATGATTCATGTGCAAGGTTTCCCAAATCCGTTCTGTAGCATTCTGCAGTCTTCATGTAAATAACATTCTGCTCCTTTATTTCTTCAGCCAAAGCGCATAACTTTGTTTTTTCCCCACAATGTATTCCATCTGCCAAGTTTTAACCTATTTATATCTATTTGCAAGTGCTTGGAGTCAGCCTCACCACTTGCCTTCCCACTTATTTTTGTCAAATTTTGAAAACCTGGCTAAAATGCTTTCACTTTCCTCATCCAAGTCATAAATATAAATTGTGAATAATTGTGGCTCAGCACTGATCCCTATAGCACTTCACTAGTTACAGATCCCCCTTATCCCAACTAGCAGTTATCTATGCTAACGTATAACCTCCAACACTCAGTTTTACTGACTATCCCAACACCTTCTGGAAATCCAAATGTTACATCCATTGCTTCCCCTTTAGCCTCCTTGTTACCTCCTCAAAGTACTACAATAAATTTGTCAGACATGATTTCCTCTTTTTGTTTTCTGGCTAGTACCCAATTGAAAATATTTTCTAATCAAATGTTCAGAGATGTTATTACACTCCTCTGGAACAGCTAGATCTTAAACCTGGGCCTCCTGGCTCCAGGGTAGGGACATGACTACTGTTGCCATAGGAACCCCTGGTTTCCCATTATTATTTCCCAGCTTCCTTCTCTAGCCTTTATATATTTAAAGAAGCTTTTAATGTCCATCTTGGTATTACATACAAGTGTATCCTCAATTTATTTTCTCCTTTTTTTTGGTCATGTATTGACTTTAACATTTCCCAATCCTCCAATTTCTGACTAACCATTGCCATTGCATTTTTTCTTGCAACTTGATACTGTCCTTAATTGTCTTGATTGACCATTGTCACTTTATCCCCTTCTTAGAATCCTTACTCCTCATTGGGATATATCTTTACGCAGAGTGAACTAATTCCTTCAGTACTAGTTCTTGCTCATCCCTCAGTAACCATCTTTAAGTTGAGCATATTTGTTTGTGATGCAAGTTTTCTGAGTTCATTTTATTAAATCTACTGTATTTACACATTAACCTGACCCCTTGTTTTCTGAAAAATCTACAAACATAGTTGGGGGTGTATGCTGCCCTTTTGAGAGTTGGTCATGTGACCTGGGGGAGGCAGGGAACGGGGACATTGAGAGACAGTCTAGCTCTAACTGCGTAGCTGTAAAGATATAACAAACTGGTCCCAGTTCAATTTCTACAGGCCTACTGCATGGTCTTTTTATAATTTATAAATTGACCTGAACATAATGACTGGTGATGAGACTGAGTCACAGCCCACTAACTGTGGGCTACTGTCATTTTCAGAAGAGACAAAGTACATCACAGAGACCTTGGAAACAGCGTGGGATTGAGGAGGTAGCGTAGTAGACATGCTGAAAGATAGAACAAAATGTCAAACAAAGGAAGCAGTTGTGTGGGGACTTGAGCTACAGCCAAAGGCTGAAAAGGGGAGTACTCACCCAGAAGATTACCAAAACCATCACTGAGAGCGTTTACTTAGGGGACTTTGGTTGTGCTCGACTATTGGACTTAGACTCAAGTAGCAGGAAAATTCCTGCTGGCAGGAAAACAAAATGGCAGACCCATTTGGAGCTATGAGACAGAAAGTTGGGTTCTGTATACTGAACGTTTTAATGCATACTTTAATACAAAGGAAGAGTGCCTGAAGACTTAACGGTACGGGTTTTCTTGAGCATCATTGGGAGCTAAACGTCTGCAATTCTGAGGAGTCTGATGCAACCAGAGAAACCAGTAGAGAAGACCAATCCAATAAAAGATTGTGAAGTGTTGGAAGTCATTTTGTGCCAAAGCCACGATGTTTGCAAAATGTCTCCGTTTTTATAAACGGGTACAACATGGAGAGTCCATCAGCCAATTTGTGGCTGCCTTTTTGTTTGTTTGATTTATCATTTCACTGTATCTTGGTACGTGATGAAGTGTTGTTTAGTTTGCTATACAGGTAGATTGTACCAAAGTGTTTCAGGGTAGCAGAACAGAGTGC